GTGGCCCGCTCGCAAGAAGGGGAAGATAGAATGCGTAGCTCCTGAGAATTGGTCGAAATGAGCAACTAATTCCGAGATCTAATTTCTGATCTATCTAAATGATATCTCTAAGTGATTTCTATCTAAATGATATCTTTTTGAATATTAAAAGTTACCTTTTAGACGGACATTAGATAATCTTTTCAGTAAACAGAAACCAAACATTTTTACCGAAAATAAAGTTATCTTGACCTAATTTTGTATAATAAAATGAAATATTTTAAGATAATGTTGTTCAACTTGGGATGATAATATTTGCACATAATATACCTTAAATTTTAAAACATATGTTGTTTAATAGTAATATTTGGTAGTACATTATTTAAAATTTAAAGACGATGCCGGATACCATCGACATTGGCTAGCTGTCATTAATCCTAATCCTAATCCTAATCCTGAGCAGAACGGATGAGCAAATCCACAGTTTATTATTTCCAAGAACTATCTATATGGAAGAAAAAAATTTTTCAGTCGATATTGCAACTTAAAACAAACTGACCAAATTATAAAACAATTCACTGTTTAATAACTTCTCTAAGATTTTGACATATTTTACGTACACGATACTCGTAAGAAGTCATTATTTGCCATAGCAACGTGTATAAATCTCATAATCGGTAATGTAGACAATGATACATAATCTAACATGTCATTTAATAGACGTAATAAAGATGTCTGAAATAAGATGTCTTTAAAACGTCTTTCTGGCAACATTTTAAAAACATTTGAAATAACACGCTTTTTAGTCGTTTTTTGATAATGTCATAAAGACGTCTTAAATAAGACGTCTTTAAGACGTCTATTATACCTGCGTGTTATATGAGTATGTACAAGTATTTACAATCGTCGCCGTATAAATCGTGACTCTGTGGTGCTCTGTCGAGCGCGAACTCGCGCGTTTAGACCAAAGTAGCACGGCTTTGACAACGATTGATTCGGCATGTGTTCCGCGGGTTTGCAAAATTCTGTTTAGCGACTGCCGGAGAACGGTCGAATATTTACGCAACAAGTTGTTCGCTTATATGAATATTGCTAGCTAGATCTATGTCGTCAAATCATCTATCTATGGCGACAAAAGTCGCATATTTACGACTAGGTTGTGTATCTTAGATCGGGAAAGCGGTGTTGGTAAAGATTTCTGTCGCGTATTCACGACTCGGAAATCGGACAGAGAAGATCTCGGTCGCGTATTCACGACTCAACGATCGGAAACAGAGGTCTCGGTCGCATATTTACGACTCCTGGGAATAGATCATTGCGAATTCGCAATAGATAATTAATTTGGAAGGGTTAATTAATTCTTTTCTTTGCTGGAAAATTGCGTGAGAACTGCGTGTTTTCTGTTTCGGTGTCAGTTTTTATACATATTTTCTTTGTTTTGTTCGCTTTGTTTGGTGTTTGATCGGCAAGCACGATTTTCGGCTCGTTGGACGCGATTCGCAGTTTTTCGATATACTTCGTCAGCGCGTTATCGCGATTTTTTGGCGGTCTAAGAGTGGACACGAACTGTGCAGAGAATTGCGTCTTCTTAATGGAGCTACGTATCGTTCTGGAGTCCGCGACGCAACTCTCCTCTCTTCGTCTACTTTAATAAAGTATAATACAAATGAAGATAAATGAAGTAATGTACGGGCGGAAGATATATCGAGGGCGGGAGTCTGGGTAGCTTAGCGGTTAAGAGTAATAGCCCGGAAAGCGAAAGACACGGGTTCAATTCCCGATCTAGTCATCCTTGTGTGTGCTCCGATATTTTACATGCCTGCGTACTACACGATAAGAGTCAGCACGTAATTTGTGCATTAGCTGGTCCCATTCCCCGCACATTCCCAATTTCTACTAGAATTGTAGGAAATTGCGTCTCGTTAATGGGACCTAATTCATAATGATCCTAATTCATAATAAATCTAATTTATAATGATCCAACAAATCGTTACAAAGCTGCATAATCAAGTTTTTTATTTCTAAACATTATAATCGTAAAAAAATAGGAAAAAGGGCAATTCGAGTTCAAGCACAGGACTAATAGTGCTATATGGGTAAAAAATCTTTCTTGTGTTAGGAAATCGGGTAATATTTATTGAACATGAATAATCAATATAAAACAATTATACGTTTCGGCTCAACCATGAACCCTCTTCAGTGATAATAAAAAACTCAAGGTTCACGACACGAACGCATTACAATTAGTTAAAGATCTGCGTAAATTGACATGAATGTTAATCGCAATATTAAAGCTGACAAGACCGTTACCGAAATAATATTAAGTAGTTAATTAATATTGAGAAATAGCCGTCATAACTATAAAAATATCATAAAATATCATAAAATCATAAAATAAAATAAAAAAATAAGTAAAATTGAAATATAATAAATAATTAAAACTGATAATATAAAATACTTTTGTTGAGTTCAGCTAAAAGTAAACCGATCCTGTCAACGATAACATCGCCACGTCTACGAAATACAAATAATTACAGATTTATATACCTAGCATTAACATTGCGGAAACGACTTGTGGAAGAGAAGGAAACCAAAACAAAGTTTATTTTCATAACAAGCCGCAGTAGCTGGTGTCCAAAAATTCAGTATCTTTTTGTGAGTTAAGAATGCTTCTGAAATTTGATGAAAATCATTTCTGAGATCAGGCGTTTTAGGTAAAAGCGTTCCTCATGTAAAACTTTGGCATGATCCTAATCAAAATCATGGTTCTTCCTCAAACGATATTCCTGTATGGCCGTTAACTCCACCGTAGAACTCCTAGGAATTCTCCTATGTTCGGCAATACATGAAGAGAGTCTCCTACTAGTTTGACCAACATAAGACACATCACAACCACTGCATTGCAACCTATATACAACGTTATTATGGAAACCAAGAGGCAACCTGTTTTTATGCACACGAATAAAACCTGATAATTTATTAGTGCAAGAATAAGCAGTATCTGTCAAATTATTTCTAAAAAGCTTGTTTGTCTTTCCATCCTATTCAACACAAGATTGGCACAATTATTGGCTTGGTTGATAGGATGTTTTATCTTAGTCATCCTTCTTTCCATAAGAAAAATATAGATTTTATCATTTTGACGCTAATTAATAATAATTATCCTTTTGACCTAATTTTTAAAGTTATTAAACGTAGACTGAGGTTTCTTATTGTGAATGGTGGACGAGTTTCAGAGACAGTTAAAACAAATTTGACAGCTTCTGGGTGTGATAAAAAATATTTTACCATACCATTTTGTGGTACAATTTCGAAAAGACCGGCAAAGCTTTTTAGAAATAATTTGACAGATATTACTTATTCTACTAATAAATTATTAGGTTTTATTCGTGTGCATAAAGACAGGTTGCCTCTTAGTTTCCAATATAGGTTGCAATGCAGTGGTTGTGATGCGTCTTATGTTGGTCAAACTAGTAGACAACTCTCTACATGTATTGCCGAACATAGGAGAATTCCTAGGAGTTCTACGGTGGAGTTAACGGCCATACAGGAATATCGTTTGAGGAAGAATCATGATTTTGATTAGGATCATGCCAAAGTTTTACATGAGGAACGCTTTTATCTAAAACGCCTGACCTCAGAAATGATTTTCATCAAATTTCAGAAGTATGGTCTTAACTCACAAAAGGATACTGAATT